ATGACAGAACATCTTGGTGAACCGTAAAAAGGGTATTGAGACTTGATTTTGAAAAATTATTTTTTCCCTTCTTACGCTTGCCATCTACGGCCCGTAGAATCTTCTACGAGGTATTACAATATCTCATTATTGGGAACATTCGTCCTCGAATGGGACTCAAGGAAACATAAGGAAGGTAGGGGAGGAGATCTAACAACCCAACAAGAATACAACCTCATTAAAAGCACATAACTAAAGAGGAACATCAACTCCAAGCTAAAACATATTCAAAACATCATTTCATAAGGCATACATGCAAACCATACTCAAATGCACATAATCATGAAGAAATCAATCAAGTTTACTCATTTTCTCAAAAATCAAGTTTTCATGAAGATGCATAGATGGGGATAATGGGACATTATCTCGGCCTCGGCCTCCCAAGTAGCACCCTCAACCCTTTGATTCTTCCATATGACCTTTACGTATGAAATTTCATTATTCTTTATTCTCTTAACTTGCTGGTCCAAAATCTCAACCGAAACTTCTTCATAATAAAGACTCTCATTTATACTAAGACTCTCCAATGGTACAATAGATGTCAGATTACCAACACATTTCTTCAACAAAGCGACATGCAAAATCGGATGCACCGTTGCTAATTCATTAGGCAAATCAAATTCATAAGAAACTTTACCAATACGCCTTAAAATCTGATATGGGCCTACAAAATGGGGACTAAGCTTCTCTTTCTTTCCAAACTTCATTACACCTTTATGGGTGAAATCTTCAGGTAGACCCAATCATCTACATCAAACTCTAGGTCTTTCCATCTAAAATCAGCATAGGACTTTTTTCGACTTTGAGTTGTTTTTAACCATTCTCTAATAGTCCAAACTTTCTCCATAACCTCTTGTACCAATTAAAGACCTATCAAAGAAACCTCACCTACTTTTAACCAACCTATGGGATATCTACACTTCCTACCATAAAGAGCCTCAAATGGAGTCATATCAATGCTTGAATAATAGTTTATTAGTGTAAGCAAACTCAATCAAAGGTAAATGATCATCCCAATTGCCGTTGAATTCAATCACATAAGCTCTCAACATATCTTCCAAAGTTTGGATAGTAGGATCCAATTTCCCATCGATTTGAGGATGAAATGTCGTACTAAGCTTAACACGAGTACCAAGGCCCTTTTGGAAAGATTTCCAAAACTGAGAAGTAAATTGGGTACCATGATTGGAGATAATGGATAAGGTTCAACCTAACCATCTCCTTAGATACAAATTAGCATAGTCTTCCGTTGAATAAGAAACCTTGATGGGAATGGAATGAGCTGCCTTCGTCATACGATCTACTATAACCCAAATCGAGTCGTGTTGTCGTCGGGTGTGGGATAAACCAATAATAAAGTTCATATTAAAATATTTCCATTTCCAAGTAGGAATGCTATTATCTTGAGACATGCCTCCCAACTTTCACTTGTTGACAATTAGGACACTTACCCACAAATTCTGCAATATCCTTCTTCATCCCATTCAACCAATAGACTTCCCACAAGACACGGTACATCTTGGTGGCTCCCGGGTGTTGACATCCAATTTTGATCGACCCATAACCTTTTTTGAATTGCTAGTTGATTAAATATGTATTGCAAAACCTTTTTCCTTTATTTTATGGGTTCAAAATTTAAAGTAATTTTAAGTAAATAATTAGTTTTAATATTCATGATTTACAAATTTTATGGTAATTATTTTTCTTATAAAATTATTATTTTTATTATTATATTTATCAATTGAAACAATTATTTTACTTATCGGTTAAAGGTTTAAATTATTTAAGTATGCTTATTTTATATAAAAAAAAATATTATTATGTGTAGTACTTTATTTAATTAAGCAGCGATTCTTAATCTTCCCTTAAATCATTTAAATCATAGCCTATTCTATTACAATTTATTTAATTTATAACCTTTTTCCCATTGAATTTCATTGCAATTCTAGTATTTCCTATACAATTCATATCAATTACAACCAATTTTGACCAATGTCAAACCAAATATCTTGAAACCCCTTCTTTTAATCCCAATTGTCCACCACATGGAACTCTCTAAGATGAAATCTCAGCCAATCAAATTCTTAAATCCAACGGTCCAAATCCTTTACCCCTTTTCTTTCTATTTTGAATACACCAAAACTCCTAACCCTATTTTTCACTCTCTTGTTTTCCTCTTGAAGAAGACAACAGTTGCGCCACCCTATATCTTTCTCTCTGCCATCTCTTTCCTCCCCTGCCTAACGTCGCTGCTCCAGCCAAAGAGCTCCGGTCAACAACCATGAAGAGCGGATCAGGCAACCCCTTTCTCCCTCTCGTTTCTCTATTTTCTTTGGCGAAGCCTACTCGCCCTTCCTCTTCTCAAGTTACTGTTATATTAAGCTCGAAAAATTGCCATTATATGGCACCCTTCCTTCCAATAGGATGAAGGATCAAGCTACTTCATACTGAGCCAAAAAATTGCCAACAAACAACATATTTGTCCTCCCAAAGATGAAGAAATAAACTGCTTTGCACTGTGCTCGACAATCGCTAGTAATTGACACTCAACATTTCCAATAAAACGAAGGCCTAAGTTGCTTCATGCTCTCAACTATTATATTGTTCTCGAGAAATTGCCTTGTCCCCGAAGATTGCATGTTCCCGAGATTGCATTGTGTTCGAGAATTACAGTTGCCCAAAAATTGCAATGTTCCCGAGAAATTGCATTGTGCCCAATAAATTGCATTGTACCCAGAAATTGCATTGTGCCCGAGAATTGCATGTGCCCAGAAATTACATTGTTCCCAGAAATTACATTATGCCCGAGATATTGCATTGTTTCTGAAGATTGCATGTGTCCGAAAAATTGCATTGTGCCCGAAGTTGCATGTACCTGAGAAATTGCATTGTGCCCGAGGATTGCATTGTGCCCAAGATTTCATAATGCCCGAGAAATTGCATGTGTCCCAGATTGCATTGGGCCCGAAAATTGCATGTGCCCAAGAAATTACATTGTGTCCGAGATTGCATGTGCTCGAGATTGCATTGTACTCGAGAATCGCATGTGCCCATGATTGCATTGTGCCCGAGATTGCATGTGCTTGAGATTGCATTGTTCCAGAGAATTGCATATGCCCAAGAAATTGCATATGTCCAAGATTGTATAGTGCCTGAGAATTGCATTGTGCCCAAGAATTGCATTATGCGTGAGAATTGCATTATGCCTGAGATTTGCATGTGCTCGAGAATTGCATTGTGTCCGAAATATTGTATTTCACCCGATAATCGCATGAGCCTAAGGTACTTGCATGTGGCTGAAGATTGCATTTTACCTAAAGATTGCATTGTGCCCGAAGATTGCATTAGGCCCGAGAATTTCATATGCCCGAAAGTTACATTGTGCCTAAGAATTGAATCTACATTGAGCTCGAAAGTTATATTAAGCCTGAAATTTTATTGATCCTGAGGACTGTTGGAGTTACTGTTGATTCAAGTTATGGAAGTCACATGGTGCTCAAAGAAATACATCTATACAGAGTTTCTATTGAATCAAGCCACAAGTATCAACATATGCCCGAATTACATCAAAATAGATATTCTCTCTTTACTCATTATATTTTGAAGGTGTCATTGTCCAAAGGCACCATCTTTCATGGCATGTGAACATCATTTCATGACCTAAGGATTTTATTTCTACTTATCATGATCTGAAGCGTCATATTCTAAGGGCATCATTTTTCATGACCCACGAACATCATCTTCATGGCCTAAGGATTTAATTTATGCTTACCATAATTAAAATGTGTCATAGCCTAAGACATCATCTTCATAGTCTTAAGGAAAATATCATGGTCGATATGGAAAATTGCATGATGTTTATATTTTACCGTTTATTCGATATATCTGCCCTAATCACTTTATCTAGTCGTATCACAAGCTACATGTTTGGAGATTGCAGACAAGTTCAAATGCCCTTTAAGATACGACTGTCATTCTTATATTTATCGCAACAAAGGCCCTCTCATTTTGTCTCTACTCATTTGATCCTTTGCACTATTCATTCCATCTCCCTATCAATTCAAGCTGCTATCGTTTTCGTCTGAATATTTTACCATTATTTCAATTTTAGGAGCTTCATTTGTTCCTAAATATAGAACTACACCCGACCTGATTTTCATAATATCAAAGATATGTAGGCGACTTAAGATCAAAGTCTCAGCCATACCATCTTCCAACTCCATGTCATATCAACTAATCCAACTAACATTTTTCTGTTGGTCCAAAATATCGGCTACTTAGTCAACGTTGGTTGCCCGGCAATTCATTGTTCATTCTCAAGCAACCAAGGGGCATCTGTTCACACCCAATATTGACCGACCTATAACCTTTTCTGAATTGCTATTTGATTGAATATGTATTGCAAAACCTTTTTTCCTTATTTTACGAGTTCAAAATTTAAAGTAATTTTATGTAAATAATTAATATCCATGATTTACAAAGTTTATGGTAATTATTTTTCTTATAAAATTATTATTTTTCTTATTATATTTATCGGTTGAAACAATTATTTTACTTATCGATTTAAGTTTTAAATTATTTAAGTATGCTTATTTTATATATTAAAAAAAATCTATTATGTGTAGTACTTTATTTAATTAAATAGCAATTCTTAATCTTTCCTTAAATTATAGCCTATTCTATTCCAATTTATTTAATTCATAGCCCTTTTTTCCATTCAATTTCATTGTAATTGTAGCCTTTCCTATCCAATTCATTTCAATTATAGCCATTTCGACCAATGTCAATCCAAATATCTTGAAGTCCCTCCTTTTAATCTCAACCTTCCACCACGTGGAATTCTCCAAGATGAAATCTCAGCCGATCAAATTCTTAAATCCAACGGTCCATATCCTTTACTCCTTTTCTTTCCTTTTTTAATAGACCAAAACTCCTAACCCAATTTTTCATTCTCTCCTCTTCCTCTTGAGAAATTCAGCAGCCGCACCACCCTATACCTTCCTCTCCGCCATCTCTTTCCTCCCCCGCCTAACGTCGCTGCTCCAGCCAAAGAGCTCCGGTCAGCAGCCATGAAGAGCGGATCAGGCGACCCCTTTCTCCCTCTCGTCTCTCTATTTTCTCTGGCGAAGCCTACTCGCCCTTCCTCTTCTCTATTTCCGGCGACAATAGCAGCGTCCAGCGAGGCAACAGCTCCAAATAGCCACTCCGACCTGTGAGGAGACGGCGAACCAGCAGCAGCGACCTCCGGCCAACGTGCTTTGAATAAAAAAGAGATTACAAGCCATCATCTGCCAGTCGCTTCGCTCTTATCCTTCACTTCGGCGAGACAGAGCATCCACAGCGAAGCTCCAGCACTGGTGAAGCCCCGACCAACGGCTACAACGACAACAACAACAACATGGTGATTTCGCTGCTCCGACCGTAAACGAAAAGCAAAGCAATTGATAAGGCAGATCTTTACAGATCCGTCCCAGGTATGATTTTCTTTATTCGAAACTCAAATCTTCATGCATGTGGGTTGGTTGTTCTTGAAATTTCATGCTAATATGTGTGATTTTTAGTTTATACTTAATATTGCAATTATCTAGCATGCTATGGTGTTGTTTGTGTTAAATTTTCGCCTCTTACTTCATGTCGATGTTCACCTTGAGGTTTGGAATAATTTGTGAATTCTTGATAGTTTGTTGAGTAATTGTTTCCTTGTAAAATCATGTTTCAGTCTTGATTGAGAACCAATATGTTATTCTCCATTTGCTCCTAATATTATGAATCCGCATGGATGCCTTGCCTATTTTATGTCAATTTGAATCTTTTGTCTTATAAATAACTCTAATTTTTACTTGTCTGGTTATGGTAAATGAATGTTGATATATGTTTTTGAGCTGTAATTATTGTCTTTCTTTTAAATAATTATTTCTTGCCTTGGTTGATTCTCATATTTATTTTATTTGCTTTCATGAATTGATCATAGTTTCCTTAAATAAAGTTGGCCAGATTCTTACATGTTATATTTTGGGTAAAGGCTATATTCTTTTGAGGAAAAAGAATTTTGTTGATTTTACTTTTCTTCATTAATGAAATAAAATTTCCGTAATTGCTTATAATTAATTCTCTTCCCTTATTGTGGTGCTCTTCCATCATCTATATAAAGTGTCCCTCATTCTCTTCATTCTTCACGCTAAAAACACTTTAACAAAAATAGAATACACTATCTACTCTTAAAAAGAAAAAGAAAAATTCTTGAAAACGTTCGAAAGTTCTTTCTCTGTTGTGTTCCTGTTTCGGGTTGGATATTCTGCTAAATACTTCATTGCTGATAAATAAATAGGAAACGGCCAAAAATACCCCTCAACTTTGTTTTATTGATTGACTATGCCCTTAGCGTTAAAATGAAGTTATTCTTACCCTTGCCGTTACTAATTTCATCATTTCTGCCCCTCAATTGGATGGAAAGCCCCAAATCAACTAAAATTATTTAATTTTACTTAAATTACTCAATTTTAATCCGATCTGACCCACCTGATAATATATAACCCACTTCTGTTCATCTTCATCTTTTTAAACTTGTGCTCCTTTCCGAATTCTCTCATGTCTGCTTGCAAAGACTTATCCTCTCTGGCAATGGCCCTAGATGGCCAGCCACCATGGCGCCATCCTCCCCTCTTTGTCCTTCTTTCTTCGTTTTTTTCTTTCATTCTGAAAATTATATGCATTATCCAATCACTAGATTTGTTATCTTTGATTCTCAATCAGTGTAAAAGAATAATTGATATCAAATCAAGCACCAAGTAAATGTTGTAGCTAAATTCAAACAGGCAAAAATAAAATTTTAAAAATTTAGCCCCTTGTTTGCCAGACCTTATGGTGAAATAGTCCACCGAGAAATCCAGTCAATTTGATTAATTATCAGTCACTTTAACGAGTTCTAGAGCTCAAGCTATAACTAGAGGCCATTGGGAGCTTATGAAAATGGTCAAGAACATGATTTCAACTTGTTTTGAACTTTCTTTAAAGGATTTTACTGAGCAGCCAAAATTCTTGGAATCTCAAAAAGAATGCTTAATCAATAAAAACAGAAAAAAAGCAAGTTGTGCAGAACAAAATGAATACTAAGAAGAATAAACAAATTAGGAAAGCAAAGAACACTAGGTCCACCAACAATGAAAGTCACAAGACATGCCCCCATCACCACAGACTCTAGTATACCCATCAACAGCATATCAAACATTAAGCTCATTACAACACCCAACAAATTGAACAGAGTAATGATGAGAAGTAAATATCCAACATTTGTCAAGAGGGATCCCCATTTTCTTTGAGATGAAAGAACAAGAAGAAGAATTAATCAACAAATAGGGTTTTTTTGAAATGGGTATTGTAAATGGAATTAATTTTATTTGGGTTAAGATAGATAGAAGGTTGGGTGCAGGTTTTAAATGGAAATGGGTTGTTTCAAAGGAATTCAGGTTAATTTTAGTTGATTTGATGCTTTCCATACAATTGAGCACAAATGATGAAATTAGTAGCGGTAGGGGTAAGAATAACTTCATTTTAATGGTAAGGGCATACTCAACCAATAAAACAAAGTTGAGGCGTATTTTTGACCTTTTTCTCAATAATAAATCTACTTAATCGGTTAGATTTCTTCATTAACTTGGTCTTTATTTGTGTATTAATATTATTTACCTTATAGTACAAGTTTACATACTTTTTTATTTATAATAAATAAAAGGAAGCATCCGGGTCAGTTTTCTTATCCCTTCTTTATTTGTGTTTGATTTTATACTCTCCATGACTTGTTTGAATTCTTGTATGTTTGTTTTCTGCCCTTTTATATGAAATAATTAATATTATGTAATTAATGTTGTTATCTTGATATTATACTGCCTTTATGTGTTGTATATTTGCCAGTATCTTCCTTTTTGTTTAGCAGGGTTTTGAACTTCAGGTTCAAGATGTCGAAGAGTTCGCCTGGGGACGGGATTCCGGAAAGATTTAGTTTTGTTTAGATTTTTCTGTATTATTTTATTTGCTTTGTTTCGGTTTTTGTAATAATTTTGTAAACTCCAACTGCTCCATATATATTGAATGAAATAACTTGGGGAACCGTCTAAGGGGAGGGGATATACGTGCTATAACTGTTTTTATCTTATTATATGTGAATGTTATAGATAATCTACCTATATTGTTAAATCACATAAAATTAGGCAAGCATATCTATTTAATAATTGGCCTAGAATTTATAACTTTGTTTCAATTAATTAATTCATCTTCATCATGTGTTGTGCTATATAATCTTGGAACTTTTTTTAGAATCTGGTCTCGTATGTCAATACTGTTAAAATCAGAAACTGTTTAATCATATAATTAGATGTAATGAAATAATTTAAACCTGTCAATCAATTTGAAATCATGCTTATAGGTATTCATTAATTATCTTTAGCATGTTATGCCATAGAATTCATGCCTATAGGATTTCAATTAATTTTCAACATGTATTTGGGTTAGAAATTATGTTTGTGGGCTTACCTTAGTTTGTTTGTCGCATATTATATATGGGTAAGAAATCATGTTTAGGACCTAACCTTGTAAACATGTTAATTAATTAGATTTTAAACAACTTTAGCATGTTAATCAGCAGGTAATTAAACATTTTGGTTATTTCAAAATGTTAAATTATCATAATAATAAGGTCAGCATGTTAATTTATCAGATTTTCAACAACTTTGGCTTGTTAATTAATTAGTTTAATAAGACTTTAATAACTTAGGTATGTCAATTAGATTATTTAATCAGATTTTTACAACTGCAGCTTGTTAATTAATCATATTATAATAAATTTTGCATGTTAATCACATAGAAATCCTTCCTATAGAATTTACATAAATTTGAGCGTGTCGACTGTTTTGATATTCTGATCTAGGCCCTTGATAGTTTTTCAGCATGCTACCCGTATTAGACATCCTTTAGGATCTGGTAATTTGATTTCAACATGCAATGAATTAAAAAAATCTCAACTGTTTAAATGCTGATATGCCCTGATTAAATCCTACCCAAAATAATTAATTTCTTCCTTAATATATTTTCTGCACCATAAATTACTTTTCTACCCCTTCTAAAAATTAATAATTATTTTGTTATGTTGTTTGTTTGTATTTTGTGTGCACACACTCTAAGCATGAAACCTTTCACTTTTTAATTGTATTTGCAAGCATGCTAAATAACCTAACCTAGAGGCTAATTTGAGATTTTGCAACACATCAGTCTCGGAAAGAGCTAATTTTAGAAAGAGCTAAATTGAGAATTTGGCAAGTTAGATTAGAATAGGACATAATTAGGCATTGAGGACACTAATTGTTGAACTAAATTGTAACATTCCGAAAATTTCTAAGTTGACACTCGAGTCATTCTTTATGGTGAATAAGTTTTTTTTCAAGGGATTCAAAACTTTCTTAGATGTTAAGGTCGCTAAAACTTCACAGCGTAAAGCTGAGTTGGAAATTTTCCTTCTAATTAAATTTCTCTATGAGATTATTCTTTGTTCAACTTCAAACGACCATAACTTTCAGTACAAGATGATTTAGGTAGCCCACGAGATATCAAATTAAAGATCGCTGAGTCCTCTTTACAATGCCACCAAGTTTGCTAAACTCCAAGTTCGGATGAGGGAGATATGCTCGTTTGAGTTCAACTTGTCCAATTAAGGAAATTCATCCATTTTAAGGAGGGGTATTTTGGTCTTTTCCATACCCCACTTGTCTAAAACATTTTTCCCACCTAGGTTAAGGGGTCTAATCAGATTGAGTCAATTGGGATTCATTCTAAAGCGTTCAAGAAACTAGGGCAAAGTTCAAAAGGAGAAAAAGGGAGAAAATTTCTAGCGTTCATCGAGTTTGGAGGTTTTAGCCATGAATTCAATTCTTTCGAGGTATGTAAGCTTCCATAATGTTGGGTTTGTTCCCCCGCATGCCAATCTTGTAAAATTTTACCGATGAATTCATTCTTGAAGTTGATTATGGAGTTCTTGAGTATTTCTTGAGTTTAATTGGTAATAGAGTTTTGTTTTGAGTTCTCGAGGCAATGGTTTGCGAATGAGTTGAGTTAATTGATAGTTCTTTGCATGAGTTTCGCTAGAATTGTTCTAGGTTATGAGAATTCGTGAATTTTGACCTTTAGATTTTCAATGGGTATGAGTAGAATCGAGTTTGAGAGAGGAAGAAAAGATCGGGCAAATAATTGCGCCTAGGTCCGCATTGCGGAGGCGCTAAGATTTTTAGTCCCCAGATAATTACCCCTTCTCAGCATCGCAGAGAGGATACATAGTCTTCTGTCTCAAAATTATTTTGTGACCAAAAATAATAATTCTTCTCCGTGTTGCGCCCATGCTCTCTAGTTTGTGTCTTCGCTCGTTTCTCATTATCAACTATCTAAACTTCATTTAATCATTGAGAGATCCTATATCCTAATCATAATTCTTTAATTCACATTTGAAATTCAAGATTGAGTTGAGAGTAAAGTTCGAGAGAGTCCTTTGAGTCATTTTGAGAAGTCTTTTGCAAACTTTTAAAACTTATTTAAGACTTGAGTACTTGAGTATGAGGATGAGGAGAATTGCGTTTCATTTTTCAAAATGAATATAAGGGAACTAAATATTTCCAAGAGTAAATACTTTTATATTTAAAATAAGGGAAAACCTTGATTTCCAAATGAGTTCATGAGGAGTTGTGAGCTTTATCTCTTTTAAGAGAATCTTTTGAGTAATAATCTCAAAGTTGAGAATGAGGAAATGTTTTTAAACATATGAGAATGAGTTATTTTATTGGGAGTAGTATTGAACATTGATATGAGGACGAGTTCAGACAACTCAAAGTCCTCATAAACCATGTATGCCAACATGGGTAAATGGTCATACTTTTTAGATGATTCCTTATTGTTTTAAAGCATAACTTAGTGGATCCACTTAGTTGAGGATGTCTTATACTACGACAAGGTATAGGACAGTTTTGGCAGCGTGGCCGAGACGCTGTATCATCACATAGCTCATAGTGATTGTTGTCGGTTAGAGAATCTCCCAAATAAGAGTAAAAAGGTGTTATTGAATTTTTTTTAAAATACATTGAGTTGTTATTTACTGTTTTAAAAGCTTTCTTTATTATGTATCCTTATTGTTGCTTTTATGTTGAGTTGAGTTGAGTATTTCTGAGTTTGAGTGTCTTTGAGTATCCTTGAGTTGAGTTGGGTTGAGATGAGGTGAGTATGTTCTTCCTTTTTATCACTTCAAGATTATGTTTGTGCTTTAGAATTCTCCTTGCATGCTCGTACATTTCATGTATTGACGTCATTTGGCCTGCATCTTTCATGATGTAGATACAGGTAGCCAGGGTCATCAACATGTGCTTCGTTGATACCACTTGCAGTCCCAGAGTTTGATTGGTGAGCCTCCTTACTTTTTGGAGGGCTCCACACTTCGCTTTTATTTTCAGTTTGTTAGGATGATCGGGGGTCTTGTCCCTACATCCATCTTAGTACTTAGAGGCTTCATAGACAGTAGAGTTTTGAGAAGTCTGTTTCATTTTCAATTGTTAATGTTCTAGACTTGAGTTGCCACTTTTGGCAAGTTGAATGTTTTTTTAATATTCTGAGTTATTTATTTTGAGACCTTTGAGAAATCTTTACTTTTGAGTGCATATATAGTTGAGCAAGTCTTTGGCTGAATATTGAGCCAGGCCAAGGGTTCGCTTGGGGAGCATCAATGGTTCTCGAGTGCCAGTTACACCCAAGGTGTAGGCTCAGCGCATGGCAAACTTTGTATTAGAGAACAGAGTTCAGGAGTCCTAGGGTGTCTATGAAGTCGTGTTTGCAAATTCCTGGTTATCGGTGTGAAGCGCACCACATCTATAATTAAGAGGCTGCAACATTTAGGAAATAATTTACTTCCTTCTTACTCTTTTTCGTGCGATAGAGTTCAACTCTATAAAAGTTTCCTTCTAATTCATGCTTACGCATATCTTTTCAAATCATTCCTCTACGAAGAGCTGTTCGAGGTCGTCCTACTAGGAGGAATGCTGATCCTTAGGATCAAGGGGTACCCAATGCACCTGAAGTGTAAACCCAAGGAGAGGTCACTAATGCTGAGTTCTGGGATGCTATCCGGATGTTGCGTCAAGTTGTGGCCAATCAAGTTGGCCACCAAAGAGGGGTTCGACAGGATGTGGTTGATACACCTGGAATCCGTGAGTTCTTGAGGATGAATCCTCCCGAGTTCACTGGTTCAAGTGTCACCGAGGATCCGGAGAACTTTGTGGAAGAGTTGTAGGAAGTGTTTGAGGTGATGTATGTTGCAGATGTTGAGTATGTGGAACTAGTTGCATACCAACTGAAGGGTGTTGCTAGGGTCTGGTATGACCAATGGAAGAAGAGTAGAGCTGAAGGGGCACTAGTTGTGAGTTGGGTTGTGTTCGATATGGCATTCTTGGGGCGTTTCTTCCCCCGTGAGTTGAGGGAGGCGAAGGTAAGTAAATTTCTGAAATTGAAGCAGGAATCCATGAGTGTGCATGAGTACAACCTCAAATTCACTCAACTGTCCCGCTATGCTCCGGAGATGGTTGCTGACATAAGGAGTAGGTTGAGTCTATTTGTATCTGGGTTGTCTCGCTTGTCAAGTAAGGAAGGAAAGGCACCTATTCCGATATGAGATATGGACATAGCTAGGCTTATGATCCATGTGAAACAAGTTGAGGAAGATAAGATGATAGATACAGAAGAGTTTCAGAACAAGAAGGCTAAGACTACAGGTAATGAGTCCGGACAGTAGAAGACCGGAAATGCAAATCAGTCATCTTTTCAACAAAGGACAACTAGACCTACTCCATCATCTGCTAGTGCATATGTACCAAAGAATAAGGGTGAGTTCAAGAATAAGAATTTGCAAAACTTCAGAGCTAGATTCCTACATGTGCTAAGTGTGGTAGAAACCACCTAAGAGTGTTTCGTGATGGCTCCAGTGGTTGTTTCAAGTGTGGTCAAGCAGATCACTTCATGAGAGAGTGCCCTAAGAACAGGTAGGGAAGTGGTAATGGGGGCAATAGAGCCCAATCTTCAGTGGCTCCGCTAGACAGAGCTGCACCTAGAGGAGCTACTTTAAGGACATATGGAGGAGCAAACCGTTTGTATGCTATCACCAGTCGCCAAGAGCAGGAAAATTCGATGTTGTCACTGGTTTGATCAAAATATTTTCTTTTGATGTATAGGCATTGC